CAACATCCACAACCCGAGCTACAAATCTACTCCAAAACCTTAGAGATTAATAAGCCTGCTAAATTGCTTTCAACTTCTTGCTGAGCTACTTTAAGACCATTCATGAACTACATGTGCTACCCATTTGTTTTTCTTCTTATGCGCAGTGCTTTGCACCTTCATACTTAGCATTTAATTTGACCTGTCATGATCTTCCCTTTGTAGATTTTTTGCTCAACTTATCTGAAGTGCTGTTCAGCAGTAACACTGGCAGTGTGTCATTTCATCCAATTACAAGTTCAGAAATTCCTAGTTTGCAGTTTGTACCGCTAGAAGATTGTAGAACTTATGGGCTATTGCATTTTGTACAGGAATACACCACAACTAATCTAAAGTGCCCTGAACCTGCGGGAAGCCAGCTATATTGGCAAAACCTACAGCCTGGGCCACAGCACTGACCTCTTCACAGGGAAACAAGATGAAGCAATGTGACCATGCACAAGTTACATCAGTTAACATCCTTGGTACATTTATGGATTGAAGATGAGGAGATCCTACACAGATCCCAAGTGGATCCTTGGAGATACCCATTAATTTAAACATTTAGTGCAGCTTTCTTCTTGACAGCACCAGGATTGGGTGGACCCCACTCCTTCAAGTTGCTGGTCCTGCTTCAGCCGATGGGATAGTTCTATGAGAGTGTCTTGAGATATTCTCTGTCTGTGACAGAAATGCAACTTGCTTTGCTGAAGGAAATAGCATAGAGGACAATAGATTCTAGATTTCCTCTACCTCCCCTGCAAGTCCAAGGGGATCTTCAGCTGTGGCTTCTTCATGTGGAGGCTATTTGGCAGCTACTGGAAGTTGCTGCTGGTCCTGGGCTTGGCTGACCCGTCTGTTCCATCTCAATTTTTCTGTGCTTTTGTTGCATCATAGCAACAGTAACAATGATGCTTGGTGCAGCTTTATCCAATGTACCTACATGGGGAATATCAGAAACAGAACAGTTCATTCACATCACATCCAAATGAGAGTTTGATGTAGTCCTCAATACAGTGGGATATGGAGAACTCTAAAATGGAAGGCTAGATTTGGACCTTTGACATCGTAGGTGTTATTCCAATATGTGCAGCACAAGCCAGAGGAGATTGTAAGTGCGGTAGGATTACTGAAACCTTTGCTCACCCCCACATGATAGCATATTGTCAAATATTGACCATTCAAGGTGAGAAGAACTCAGCTCCATGCTCTTGAGACCTTGGATTGTTCTTGTGAATTGTGGCCCATAGATAAGTCTTTTAAGATCACTTGCCATTACTTCTGCTTCACAAAGATGCTAATGATCATAATCTATAATGGTCAATGACATGATGAAGGTTCCTTGTGGCCAGGATTTGTATTCCACACAGCTGTAAGCATTTCACGTGCAAGGTACTATGATTACAAATGTCTTGAACTTGTACTGTATAACTGCCAGCTTAATGGAATAGTATCTTGAAGGACATCGCATCATTCACAAGTCACAATTCACATTTTCTGCCAGGAAAAAAAACGTACTTCGCTCACTCTGAGTCTGGTCACAGCTATTTTCCACTTTCATTGCACATTTGGATGAGGATGGAAGGCAACATGGGTCACACTTCACAGACAGAGTCGTAGGTTCAACATGATAATCTCGTTCCCCCACCCCCTTGCCCCCAGCATACACACACACACACACACACACACACACGCATCTGCCTTCCTTTCTTCCTCCCACTCCCTGTTGACACCATTAGTTCTGAGCTTTTACACATTCACACTTAACTCTCTCACTTATGTGTTCATCTTCCAAAACTGCCCTTTGAACTGCAGCCCTGCAGCTTAGCCATGCCAACCATTATGCTAAATTGACCTGATATAGAAGTTAGGTGGTGACCATGAAGAACCTCTCTCCTGCAGTGACTGATGTCCTCCAAAGCACTATCATCTCCCATCATTTTATGTTGAGTTGCCTCTCTTCGCAATTATTGTACCCCCTGCATTCCCACATGCTGCTTCCAATCCCCACAATTAATTTCCACAATTTCCCTATAACAGCAACCATCCTCTGATAATAGCCCAGCCTTTACTTTCAGTGAGCAGCCCCCAAGAACTGACTTTGACCCACTCCCTGACCAACTTGGAAGAAGAGCTCCGACCGATGGGTGACCAAAACCCCTGACTGAAATCTGAACAGCTCCCTGACTGATTTACCACTAATCCCTGCATTGGTTGCATTGGACCTCCAGGAGTGACTGCGACCCACTCCCCACACTGTAGTGGTATAAAACCGCTGACCCTGACCATCCCAAATGAACGATTGCCTGTGTCCAAGCTGCTGGACTGAGATCAGACACTGCCCTTAATTGACTGTGATGATACCCCCTGACTGACAACATTCCACCTTGACTTGTCTGGGGTCTACCCCACTTTTGAGATGTTGAGGTGTTTGAGACATGGCCATTTGTTGGAAGTACATGCATTGTGTAATCTGCTGGCTCGTGTGATAGGTGTGACATTGATGTAGCATCTTGTACACACCCTTCACTGATAACTACTGACATCCAGGACAAGCTGCCTGGCTTTGTCTCTGTTAAAAGGCAAGGCAAGACAGAACTACAGTGAGCCTTTAAATTCTGAATGAGGCCGCAAAGCACAAAAGGCAAGGCAGGGATCCTGTGAGCATTCAAGTAAATATGAAGTGAGTGAGCGTGAAGAAAGAAAGTGAAGAACCCTAAGGTGCACCATGGTCCAATGCAAATGACTTCCTGTCCCTTTGCATAGTGCAGCCTGGCAGGAGCATTGCAATGTAAAGTGTTGGGGCATTCCAAAGTGCAGCATTGTAGAGGAGAACCCTGTTCCAAGTCAGTCTGAAATGTGCCATAGTGATGTGGTGAGGCTGGTGCAAGTCTGCTGCCATCCTCCATCGAAAGGAGTGCAGGTGGTCGCTATCCCTGAACATGCATGGAGATGCTGGTGATTGATGGCCAAAAGGAAGGCCCAGAGAAGCATGCAGCAATCTGGAACCGCCGTGTACACACTCTGACTTTCATGTTGAAAATTGTTCCTGTCTAGTTTCTGGTCTCTGGGAGAATAAAAGGTTGCTTATAAATGAGGTGAGAAGAGGCACTAACGAGATGCAAATAGGCTTTTCACTTCTCACTAGTGAGATTTTCAACTTTCCATTCAAACTTTGGATGAAAAGTAGACATTTTATTCTTAGCACCAAGAATCTAATTTTTTGAACTCAGCATATTTTCTCAACTGACTCACGATTGCCTGTGTCATTCAAGTGCTGGGAAAATTCATCCCATTGTTTTTACTTAATTCATGGACGAGCCAGATTTTGCTGTTAAAAAAATTAGAATTTCAGGTCAAATGAACACATTTAAATCTCTTTCAGTAGTACCAGTACTTCAATATTTAGTGTGTGTGGTAAACTGTAAAATATCACTCATTGTTAGAAGCACATATTTTATCTGTGGCCTATTGACTCCTGTTTTTATGATTTTGTGGTTTTTACTTTATCTGAGATACCCAGATGGAAATTACGATAACAATTTTTGTTTTTTCACAATAATACAAACAAGCTTTATGTAGTTTATAGTGAAAGATTTCAAGAGTCCAATTGCAGTCTCACAGCATAAAAGTTGGCAGCAGTTTGACTGTTTTTGAGGTCGCTGTTTGTAATGTGTTAAAATAATTTGCATTGGGCAAGTATCACATGTCAAAAACACCCTTATGGCTGTCCATTATGAAATGAGCAGAAGTCAAAGTCAGCAACAATATCACAGGGTGATGGCAGACTACAAGTAAATTAACAGTTCAAGCATTTTGTAATGACCATAATGCCCTGAACTGTATTTTTGCTACAAGACGTTCACTCAGCCATCCAATAGTATATTTACAGCCTCATCCACTCTATGTGATTGACTTTTTTGCCACTTTTTTTTAACTGATCTGCAATTTATCACATTCATATATGAAAAATATCAATCTGTGAGAGGGATATGGCTGGCATGGTCCATGGAACCAAGACTTGACATCAGTAGATTTAAGAGATAAAGAATAAGTGAAGGATAACAGAGAAAATAATGAAAATGGAATAAAATGAAAATGCTATCAGGCCTTACAAATAGCATAAAGTAACAGTATAGAATAAACTATAGCTGGCCTCAGTGTTCCTGTGCTAAGAAAGTGAGTTTGGCCATGTTCCCATCTATAGCCCAACTGAAATTACACATTGATGTAATGTTTAGGCTCACAACTTGAAAAATAATCTCTTGGCTAATGTACCACAGGGAGAAGTTGGAAGTAGGTAAACAGAATAAATCAGGAGAAAATAACTAATTACGTTTAAGAATAGAATATATTCATTCAGGCACTGCTAAGTGCCATGATATGGGACAATTCAATGGCATAATCAGCCTACTTATTTGTGCACAATGGTCCAATATGCAATTTATTCTGACAAAGTTTTGTTAAATGCAGTAATTACTACAATTACTTGCTATAATTTATCACAACCCATTACAACTTGTTTTAAAAATAAAAGTCATAGGTACACACAAGAATAATTATACATAGAGAGAGAGATGAATATATGGCTAAAGTAAAATTTTACAGTCAGTAAATCTCCAACCAAGATGATGAAAAAAATGTTAACATGTTAAGAAATATTCAAAAAATAAGTTTGATTGGTGAAGACAACTGGAAAACAAACTGATCATGAAGAATTGGGATCTTACTTTTAACTAAAAATCAAACAATAAGGTCTAATAATGTTTTCAACAATATCAATCAAACATATGGCATCAGCTACCAAATGAGGATTTATGTTATTTGCATTTGTGTTGTAGAATGAGTACTTGAAACTTATTTTAAATGTATATGTTGTAAGTTTGGTGTAAGTGAATTTATATTATTAAGCTGTTGGGATAAAGGTTTTGAGATACATGAAAACAATCTGGTCCTGAGCATCTTAATGCTGAAAATTATAGTCTGCACCACAGAAACGCAAGAACATGGTTGTCCAAGATTCACCTGTCTAGCATCCACATTCAATCTTCCATTAATTTTGGCCATACTGTGATCAAAAAGCTCTTGTTCTGGACAGTGAACACTAGGGTCCATGAACAGAGTGCGTTGTTTTTATTTGAGTACAAAGTCACTGGACTTTGCTTCAATTTGCACTGACTTTCATACTACCTTCAGGCTGGTGAACATTCTTTGTATCAGATTAATTTTGTAAATCATCGTGTTATGGTGCAGATTCTTTATTAAAGGGCATAGAATGTGTTTCCTTTTGAATAACCCATGACTGTTTTATCTATCTTAGGTCATTTTGCGACCAGTATTCCCATCTGAATCCTGAAATTCGTCTCTTGTTAGAGGAAAAAGATCAAGCTCTGTTAGCCCTTCGTGAAACTATGGAGGTAGGTACAGTAACAAAAATAGTTTAATTTTGATGCAAACTATATAATGTTCAATTGGTATCATTAGTAACAGTTACAATGGAATCTGTGCTCTATGTTATGGAACTCTGTTGAAATTCTCAAAGGAAACCCTAAGCTGAGAATTGCTGGAGACGCAGTGCGACAGTAAGCAAAGCAAAGTGTTTTGCAGTGCAAAAAAAAAGCTTAGACATATAGTTATATTAAGATAGCTATGTTAAATAAAGCACATAGAAAAATGTAGAAAGAATGAGTTGGCTACCTGTCTCTTATATAAATAGATTTCGAACAAAAGAAAAAATTGTTAACAGTCAACTTTCAAAGCTGTGGCACAGCTTTAAGAAGACAATGTCTGTAGGCAAGCCAAACACTTGTAGGCCTGTTTTTTTTTAAGGTAAATGGCATTGTGAGGGAGCATCTAACAGAACATAATATAAAATTCTGCAGCGGAATCATTATTGTATAATCCAATGGTCAGTTGAAGCTTATACTGTCCAACGTCATGGCCTTATAAAGCAGCCCCATTTCTTCACTGTAAATGCTACTTGTTCTGTACTTAGCATGCGAGTATGAAATTATTGTATACGTTGAAATAGTGGGTGATGGTCAGGAGTGGAGAAATCAAATGTAGGCAGCAATGAACTTTATTTATTACCTGATTCCAATGTGCATTATTGCAGGTTTTTTGACCAGCTAATCATGATCCAATTCATTTAAATGTAGAATCAGTCTGATTGAATACATTGTTTAAACATAGCACTGCTGCTATCTGGCCACTTACGTCATGATGATAAATCTTTGAATTCCAATGTTGAACCCTACAGAGGAAGGGCTGGACTAGTGCTATGCAGTGTGTTAGTATTTAGACTCAACAAAGCAGTGGTAAGGGAAGCATGGAGCAGGACAAGCAGCCCTAGTTCATAAAATGAGTCAAATCCCTTTTACCTAACTTGTCTTCTGCGTACAACATGTAACACGATGTCAGTGAGTGGGAGGGAAAACCATAAGCGTGATGTGCTGAAGAAAGAGGCTGACTCTTCCTGTCCGGAAATAAAGCTATGCTTCATTCAACGGTCATCATCTCATGGAAAATCACTCTTCAGTTGTACTGATCTGACTCACATTAAAATGTATTGTTAGATCACCTACATTTTACAAATTAACGCAAGATTCCTCAGACCATTTGCTTATCCTACACAAAAAAAAATGCTTTGCCAATTACTTTTTCATAAATGCACTGCCTCTTTTACCTCTCGTAGGATTACAAGAGAATTTATTATGCATTAACAAGATCACGTACCCCAAAATTATATTATTAAATACCAGAATATGTTTGCTTAACACTTTTTTTCTGAATTCTACATGTGTATATGTGTTTCACATAATAGAAATAATCTCTCACCAAGTAACAAAAGGAAGACTTTCAGGTTAAATATACAGGGGTTAGTATATTTCAGTACAATTTCTTTTTGGGGGTCAAAATCTAACCTACTACGCATTGACTAAGTAGAGTGGTGAAGGTGGATTCCATAGGAGGTTTCAAGAGAGAGCTGGATATATATTTGAAAGTGATGAATTTAGAGGGCTGTGGAGATAGAAGAGAATGAGACCAGCTGGGTAGCTCTTTAGGGAGCTGGATGGGTCGAATGGACTCCTTCAGGACTGTAAAATTCGATGATTCTATTCTATGAAAAGACCTTATAAACTGATATTAAAAGTGAAGCAATACTAAATAGGGACTTCCTGTACCAGGCCCGCTGTTTGGTTGTGATCAGAGGGTGGAGGTCTACAGCACATGGGCTGCAACTCATCATCAGCTTCTCAAGGTCAATTGAGGATGGGCAATAAATGCTGGCCTAGCCAGCAATGTCTATGTCCCACCAGTGAATAACAAGAATCACAAATGAAACCCCATTCTATATTATGACACAATGTTAATTTAAATATGTTCTGTATCTCATCCTAATTTCTGTTTATAAAATTACTATCTTCTCTCTGTAAGTTATCTTTTTAGCAAGCAAGCATTTCGTAGCATTGTGTTTGTAGCTTACTCAGTAAAGTAAAACCTTAAGCTCTTAGTATTTTAAACAGTGAAGACCTCTGGTATTTGTCTACACACAACTTACATTCCTTTTGTTTGACTCTTTCACTGACACATCAGTATATTTGAGGAATCAGTGTTTCAGACAGCTTTAACCTATAATCTTACTTATTCTGTTCAATGGATGAAATTGGCCAAGTATTTTAAACAAACCCAACCTACGATTAACAGACAAAGGCAATATTCAATGATAACTTCACAACAAAGTGAATCTAGAACCGTGCAAAGACCTGTGTGATCAATCAAAAGTGGTTCAGGGAAGATTAATCTTTCCCCTTGCTAATCTGATGTTACACAGGAACAGCCATTGGTAAGGGTGGTTGGCATAGACGCAGAATGAGATACATATTTTGCTGCAGGTATCATCATAGTTGAAGGCTTAAATTGGTAACTGGATTGTTCAGTGACTACAGTGATATAATTATGATCATTTATTACAAAGGTAATTGAATACAAAAGTAGGGAGGTGATGTTTCAATTATACAGGGCACTGGCGAGCCTGCATCTGGAGAACTCTGCACAGTATTGGTTACCTTATTTTAGGAAACAGGTAAATGTGTTGGAGGCAGTTCAGAGATGATTAGCTAGACTAATACCAGAAATAGGCAGGTTGCTTTATGAAGAAAGGTTGGACAGGCTAAACTCATATCCACTAGAGTTTAGAAGAATAAGAGATTACTCAATTGCAACATATAAAATCCTGAGGAGTCTTGTCATGGTAGGTGTGGAGGGGATTTTTCCTCTGATGGGAGATCTAGAACTAAAGGTCACTGATTAAATGTCAGGAGTCACCTGTCATTTCAAACAGAGATTAGACCATTATTTTTCTCACAGGAAGTATTGAGTCTTTGGAAAGCTTTTCCTGAAAAGGTGGCAAAAGTAGAGGACCTAAATATGTTTAAGGCAGAAGTAGATAGATTTCTTGTTGTCAAGGGTTGCAAAGTTATTAAGTTAGTCAGGAACTTGAATTTAAGGTTACAGCCAGATCAGCCATGATCTTATTTCATGGTGGAACAGGCTTGAGGGGCTGAATGGTCTACTCCTGCTTGTGATTCAAATGTTTGTGTACTGCTTGAATTGAAGCTTTACCCAACATGTGAATGACATGGCTAAGTTGCATAAGCATATTGTTACCTTATCTTATATCCCCATGAATTACATGGGTTTGGACCTCTATCTCTGACCCAAACCCAATTCTGCATTTTCTGCAAAGTAAGTTACATCATCACTTTAGACAGTTAAATAAGCTGCAGACTTTGCTTGGTGTTAAGCTGTATTTGTGTTGCAGACCATGCACTGATGTACTCATTGCCAACATAATATTAATGAGATGTAAACTGAACAATATAATGTGCTGCTGGTACTGACTCCATAGTGTTTTTAAGCTTCCAGTGTTCAAAAGCTAAACCACACAAAGCAGTAAATATGTGTTCAAGTTATTCATTTTATTCTGATTGTGGGAGCTGGAGGATTCCTTGTTAAATTCCTTGATACGTCTGTGTTCCATAATAAAAATTCAAATGAAAAACTGAGACAACTATAGAATATATGAAATGGGAGCAGAAAAAGGCCATTTGGCCCTTCCAGCCTGCTATACCATCCAATAAGATCAATACTGATTTGTTTGTGTTCCTAATTCTACATTCCCATTCACCCATGATAACCTTTGATTCCATTGCTAAACAAAAATCTCTCTATCTCCACCTTATAAATATTCAATGACCCCACTTACACTACCTGCTTAGGCAGAATTCCAAAGCCACACAACTCTCTAAGAGAAAAAAATTTCCCTTTGTCTCTGTCTTAAAAGGGGTGACTCCTTATTTTTTCATGATGTGGGCAAGTTTGGAACTAGGAAACAAAAGTACATATCCATTCCACATTCGTCTTGTCAACACTATTCAAAACAATATATATTTTAATCAAATCACCTGTTGTTCTCCTGAACTCTAGTGAAAACAAGCCTAGTCTGTCCAATCTCTCATCATAAGACAATCTGCCCTTTCCAGTTATCAACCTAGTAAACATCCTCTGAGCTACTTCCAAAGCATTTACATCCTTTCTTAAATGAGGCAGCCCAAACTGCACACAGTATTTAGAGATATGGCTTCACCAATGCCTTGTACAATTGAAGGATAACATCCTTATTTCTGTGTTCAATTCCTCTGATAATGAAGGACAACTTTCCACTTAAAAACAGAAAACATTGGACAAACTCAGCAGGTCTTGCACTATATATGGAAAGACGAATGAAGTTAATGTTTTCAAGTCCAGTATGAGTCTCCTTCACAACTGGATTCAGCATTCCATTATCCTTCTTAATCACTTGCTGTAACCTGCATACTAACTTTTTGTAACTCATGCACAAGAAAATTTAGGTCTGTCTGCACCTCAGAATTCTGCAGTTATTCACCATTTAAATAATGCTTCTTTTTTATTCTTCCCGCCAAAGTGAACCACTTCGTATTTTTCCTCATTATGATCCATCTGGCAGATTTTGCTCCACTCATTTAACCTATTTGTAACAGTCTGCAGCCTTGTTATGTTGTTTTCACAACACACTTTTCTGCCTATCTTTGTGCTATCTGCAAATGTAGCCACATATGCTGAAATGTTGTTCTTCATTTTATTAGATACTGCAGATGAAAGTGCAGAGACTTGAACATCTGGTTCAGCTGAAAGATCTCCGAATTGAAGATCTGACAAGACATTTGAATAAGCATAAATCACAGAAGACGATGAAGTGACAGCAAGTAAAGGGGAAAAAAACAGGAATAATTAAAATCTCAATGGAAGAAATGTTTGGCAACCTCATATTCATTTGTTTTCAAACACCTGATGAAATGGGATGACAGTAATATGTTGGTGTTTTCACTCTCTAAAAACAGATTGGCAACGCATTTTTCACAGAGATTGGAGACTTCTTAGATTACTTTGTCTTTTAGAATGATGGCAGAACTGTGTTGTTACACCACTCATCTGACTTGTTGCGACTTCAGGAACACATAGAGAATTAGAATACAATTTATTTTTAAATCTTAGTACTTAATAAAACTTAGAGTGGTTTGTTGTAGAAGGTTACTTTATTGAGAAAGATTCTACTCCTGGTAGGTCTTAGTGCTGCTAGACATGTAATATTTAAAGTGTTATTTAACATAACAAAATACATATTTGTGAATAAATCATATTTTGTCTAGTTGTATATTTCCCACATTATTGGAAAACACAATGCATTTTATAACTTTCATTTAAAATTCCATGATTTTAAAACTGACGTGATGGAACATTACAACCTAATTTTACCATGCATTCAGAATTCTGTCTGAGTGATGTTTCACATAATTTTCATAATTCTAACTTTTGCTGGTAGATATAACATAAGACAGGGTGGACAAAAGGGGAGTTAAAAGGAAAACCTCCAGATTGGAAATGTATTCCCTGTTATTGAATGTAACAGTGCAATATACAGAAAATGGAGATTTCATAAGGTATTCCTATCTGCTTGAGTATTGAGAAATATTAAACTTTTTGACAAAGAAATGACTCACATCTGAAATAGAACATGCAAGAAGATGGTTATGAAGACCTTTTCACTCAAACAATTGTGATTCTTGCAAACGACAGTTGTGGATGCTCCATTGTTGAATATATTTAAGGCAGGAATATTCAGATTTTTGGTCTCTTCGGGAATCAAAGGGGACCAGGCAGGAAAATTAATTTGAAGCCCAATGAGGAACAGTGGAGAAGAGCAAGCCCAACCACATGGATAAAAGTGACACAGAGATAGTACGGACACAACAGGGGAGAAATGGGAAAGATTGAGACCAGCAGGAGATAAAGGCAGAGCTGAAGCAACAAGAATGTAGCGTGGGAACAATAAGAAATAGTGAGATCAGCCACAGGAAGAAAAGAGGCACAGAGGCCATGTATTTTTGCCAAGAATGTGTCTTCACTGTATTTCAGTATCACAGCAGGGATTTATCTCCACCAATGACCTGGTTGTTTCTCAGCTGCTGGATGATCATTTCATTATCATATCTGACAGGGGTTATAATGAGGTGGCAGTGGATAGCACACTGTGAGGTGGAGTGAAGGGTATCAATGTTGAGGGCTGTGTTGTGGTTGAGGAGACCATCAAAGCGATCCTTCCAACAAGCACTGACTACTTCTCTGTCCTTCACGAGCACTACTCTGTTCCTGGCTTTGAGTTGCAAAGGTCCTTTGGTGCTTGGGTTGTAGATAGCCTTGACTGCCTTAAAAAAACCCATGCAAGTCATGGCTTTGGTGATTTGCTGGATTTCCCTGTGCTGTTCTATCCACAATCTGTTCTTCATGTCAAAGGCATTTTGTTGACCCTCAGCCTTAGTAGTAGATGGGGCTTCATTTCTGACACTCTCAGGATTTCATTGCCACAAGCTAGTGGTTCACGTTCTTCATTTTAGACATTTGGAATAACAAATACCAACTAGCTATTACATATGAATTTTTTTAAACTTCTGACCAACTGGTTCATGATTGAAGGATAAAACCTATACCAATTGGTTATTTTGACAAATTCTACTCAGAAAGGAACTTGAGACCCTAATCTCTTACTTAGACTTCATTTCTCCAATCACGTGTGGTACCATGGACACTGATCCAGGTCCATCAGGGTGGATATGTCAAGAGTGAATTAGCTGTGACGATGTGATTCTCCTGTGCTCAAGGTAACAAGAACATGTTAGCATCTGACATATAGCTGCAGTTTCAACTGCGGATTGAGATTAATGCAAAATATCGTGGATGCTGGAAATCAGAAATAAAAACAGGAAGTTCTTAAAGTATTTGGCATGCCTTAGGGAGAGAAGTGCTTTTGGTTGGTTATTCATCATTCGAATTGAATAAAGACAAATAGCACTGAACTTAAGCCAGCTAAAAATGAGGGAAAATAGTTAGCTGTATGTAATTAATTTTAATAAAGTGCCATTTCTCTTCCATGGTTAGGTTCGTGTCTGAATGTTGTTGGAGAGGGAGCATGTGACACCCACCAATACTCAATGCTTTTAGAGAAAAGTTGGCATCCCATGGGGTGGAATGCTTTATCTCCCCTTCCAATTGAGCACGATGGCTCAGTAGTTAGCACTGCTGCCTCATAGAGACCTGGGTTCAATTCCACCCTCAGGCGACTGTCTGCATGGAGATTGCATGTTCTCCCTGTGTCAGAGTCGGTTTCTGGGTGCTCTGCTTTCCTCCCACAGTTTCAAGTTGAGCAGGTTAGGGTAGATTGGCCATGCTAAATTGTCCATAGTCTCCAGGCATGTGTCGTTTAGCTGGGTCAAAATCCTGGAATTCCCTTCCTAATAGCATTGTGGGTCAACCCACAGCAGGAGGACTGCAGCAGTTCAAGAAGGCAGCTCACTACCATCTTCTCAAGGGCAACTAGGGATGGGCAAGAAATGCTGGCCAGCCAGCAACGACCACATTCCACAAATGAATAGAAAAAAAGATGGATTAGCTATGGGAAATGCAGGGTTACAGGGATAGGATAAGGGGATGGGATGCTCTTCAAAGGGTTGGTATGGACTCAATGGGCCGAATGGTCTGCTTCCACACTGTAGGGATTCTATGATTTTTCTATACATCTGCTTTCTTTCCTTTGAGTTATAGAGGCACTTACAGTTCAGGAAAACATTATGCTACTGTGTTCATAGTTTCTGGATCTCCTAGTCATTCTTGGCAAACAATCTTGAAGTTTTCTGTTTCCTTGCAAGTGATGTTTATGATGGATTTAACACCAGACCAGGCACTGTGGACATTCTGTGGTTCCTGTTAATTAAGCATCATCAGGTTGACTGGGGGTGCTGACTGATCCGGTCTTCACAGAGTCAATGAGTTCATTAACATTGAATTTCATGCGGCAGCACTTCTGTTTGCACTACTGTTTTTGGACCATGCTAAGGGACATAATAGATTGGATTAGCTGATAGTCAGTCCAGCAGTATTGAGTTCTTACTGTGGTATGGGGAATGGGAACACCTTTGCAGTCCCTCCCTTGGACAATGATATGGTCAAGCATGTTTGAGAATGTTACCATTGAGTTTAACATTTGCCTCTCTGATGAAATAGGGTGTTTGTTGTAACCAGGCCATTTCTTCTGGGAATTTCATCAGGAGGAGGACACTTTTGGTGTTAGCTTTCCTTCCACCTTTCTTGCCAATTACGCCTTTCCCGAGGTTTGAGTCCCTCCCAAATCTGGTATTTGGAATATGGGACAGCAGATGGTCAAGGCTGGTGTAAAATTCCTCTTTGGCCTCGTCATTGCTTTGAGGATTAAGGCATGTACGCTGCTGACAGGGTTGCGCTGCTTCTGGGCTAGAGTGAGCATTCGTGAAGGAGCCAACCATTTTGCCCATCTCCGACAGGGCCAGGTGGAGGTCAAGTGCAAACGGCTGGCAGAGTGTGTGAAAAGCTGAGCATTCCACTCACCTACCTCTTCAGACACTACCTGGCCTCCCTGATGACAGAACGTGTGGATCCAGCACTGGACTGCTTGTTAATCTCCCTCAGGACCCACAACCTCCAAGTGAAAGAAGGGTTCTGAGGGGCTGCTAAAAAAGAAGGACCTGGAGTAGAAGTTCAGCCAGAATCATGTTGACTAGAGAGTAGGCTCAATAGGCTGAATGGACTATTCCTGCACCTATCTCTTGTGTTATTTTATGATTTATCTTTGCTATAACAGGAGAAGCCCAATGATGAAGCAACGTGTTATTCAGAAAGCAAAGCCTCTAGGGTAAAACTTATAAACACACACATCTGGCAGCCTGAGAATTTGTGTGCATTCCTGTAATTTTCCACCAAGAATCGAACATTGGAGAGGGCTGATTCTTGCCTATAATTTTTGATATATACTCCCAGTCAGTATTCCCTCTAATTTTTCTTTCTACCACATGCCATCTGAGGTCCATGTGCAGCAGTGACCTCTGGAATTGGCCGATTGCCATGTGCAGAACACCAAATTGGCTGTGTGCATGTAAAGACATACAGCTTAGAGGAAACATTGCTCCCAGTGGGAAAAGGTCCAGTAACTCATACTTTAAAAATTTATCCCTGTATCTCACCCTGATATACTGTACTAACTTGCAAAACCCAGTGTTTGATTTACCCAAGGGATGAAAGTCTTACTGGCAAGGCCAGCACTGTAATTGTCCTTGACAGGGTGAACATGAACTACCATTTTGAACCACTGCACTCTGTGTGGTAGAGAAGGTCCTCCAACAGTACTGTTAGGGACTTTGAACCAGAAATGAGGAGAAATATATTTCCAATTTGGAGGTAGTGGTGTTGCTGTTGTTCTCTGAGGTAGTAGAAAATGTAGGTTTGGTAGATGTTATTGAAGATACCTTGGTGAGTTGCTGCAGTCTATCTTTTAGATAATACACACTGCGGCCATTTTGCTCTGCTGGTGGATAGGGTATCAATCAAGTGGGTTGCTTTGCTGTGCATGGTGTTGAGTTTTAGTTTTAAAAGCTTTGGAATTTTATGCAAGGAAGCAGAGAGTATTCCACTACAATCCTGATTTGTGCCTTCTCGGTGGTGGAAAACTTGGAGAAGTGAGGAAGTGAGTCACTCGCTGCAGAATTTCCAGCCTATGACCTGTTTGTGTAGCTGTAGTATTTTTGCAGCTGGACCAATTAAATTTCTGGTTGATAGTGATCCCTAGGATAATGATCATGGAGGATTCTAGGATTCAATGGTAGTAATACCACAAAGAGTTGAGTAGACGTTCTCTTCTTGAAGATGGTCAATATGTGGCAATTATGTGGGACTACTCTTACTTATCACTTAACCACCTAAAACTTGATTGTTATCCAGGTTTTGCTGCGTTTGGACTCAGACTGCATCAGTATACAAGAAACTGTAAATAAGACTGAACACTTTGTAATCATCAACACTTCTGACCAATAGTCTTGTATAACTGTGTCTTTTCTATGTAATGCATTTCATAACATGCAGTTTCCCTGTATGGATTGATTTGGATCATATGCTTCATCCAAAAATATGGCTAAATCCAACCTAATCTGTAACTAGCACTTTACAGGAAGTGGTGTCAGCAAAAACAAGGGCACGATACAGTAAACTGAACTATGCTTTCATTATTCAGCACTCCACCAACACACAGTCATTATGCCGAAGGAAATGTTTTGTCTGATGAATTGGTTAGCTTTCAAGGTCTCCAGCTGTCCATAGGAATGTGAGAAACCAGTGGCTCAAGCTTTCAAGTCACATGGAAAACTGGAGTGTTAGAACATTGTTAATAACCAGGCTCTTAGTGTGATTGCTATAAGCGACTCCAGTTATTAGACCTGGAACTATGAACATGCAATCATGTTTCTCCCTGTATGAAGAGATGTTGTGCTTTTTATGTGAATTGTTTCCATGTGTCAGAAATTAATAAAGCTGGTATTTCATATGATAAGCAGCAGCTCCACTGAACCCTGAAATAAATAGTTCATTGTTAGTTTTTTTTTAAGTCAGTCTCCAACGTGAAGGTACTTCAATGTGGCTTAGTTTGTAGATTACTAATCAGGGCACTCCTTAAACTTGGCAGACTATTGTTGGTGGTTACTTTGCTAGCCTTAATCAGGACTTGCAAGATCAGTTCTAGTAGGCATGACCCAAACCTGAGTGTATACTGTACACTGAATCACTTCAGCCACGTAATCAATTCTGCCAATTCAAGCTGCTTGTGCTCAGGAAAATTGAAAATGAGTGCGCTGCAAGGGCCTGAGGTTCCTTCACCTCAGATAAGATAGGCTTCCAAACTTTGCTTAACCTCTATGTATTTATCCAATAATAAAGGGGACTGAATTTGGTGCACAACTGTAAGGAATTCATACCCATTTTCCTGCAAGTTTTGCAGTGGAGAGCAGTTGGAACTTACTTTCTGAAGACCTACTATTGACATCATCAATGCTCTGCTCTGAAGTCTACAGAGTTGAGATCCCATGCGCCAGGTTTATGGCTTTGCACTGAAGAGATTCCATTGCATTGCTGAGCTCAGAGTGACAAGTTAGTGAACATTACCATATGGTGTGAGTTTGTCTCCAACAGGGTGTTTTTTAACCTGATGTGGCAATATTTACCATTTTTATCTCCTACGACATAAGAAATGTGGTGTGGGCATCATGGCTTTGAAAAATCCAACAGTCCTGGATTACCCTTTTTAAAATTTTTCATTCATTTGTGGGATATGGGCATTGTTGACTGGGCCAGTATTTAATGCCCATACCTAGTTGCCCTTGAGAGAGTGGTGATGAGCTGCCTTCTTGAACTGCTGCAGTCCAATATTGTATGTAGTAATTACATTTCTCAGGCACATATGTGGAATTCCCCCTCACCAACATTACTGGGACAATTGATAGGAACGGTACAGGTCAGCTCTGGATTGCCAGCATATGACCAGGTGAACATCTGGAATAGAATCATAGAATCCCTCCAGTGTGGAAACAGGCCCTTTGGGCCAACAAGTCCACACAGACACACAAAGCATTCCACCCAGACCTAACTCCTCATCTCCATTTCCCTGAACTCTACAGGCAATTTAGCATGGCTAATCCACCTAGCCTGCACATCTTTGGATTGTGGGAGGAAACCCACACAGACACAGGGAGAATGTGTAAACTCCACACAGACAGTCACCCGAGGATGGAATCGAACCCAGGTCCCTGGCGCTGTGAGGCAGCAGTGCTAACCACTGAGCCACTGTGCTGCCCCTGCATCCAAGGATGGCATGGTGCATGAATCCCAATGTCTCCTGCCAGTGGTCAGCACTTCCACTTACACCTCCCACTCAGTGAATTATGAGGAGTGGACTGGCATAGGCACCAATAATGTGGTCAATAGGCAATGTGTTTGGGAAGAAAGCATGAGAAAGCTTGCCAGATCTTGCAGAGACAAACCTAGCATAAAAATCACCAAAACTGACACCTAGCTGATTTCTGCTAACATTCAGCCCGAAGAGATATCAATCTGTTATTGTTTAAAACAAAATCTACAATTTCTTTCTCCTGTTCTAACAAAAGAGAAGGAAAATGCACATGATTCTAGTGATATAGTGTCAATAGTCACTTGTAATTTAACAAATACTGCACAAGTTTTGCCTTCTGGCAAAAGTAAAGGAGGAAAGAAAAGCAATGAAGTAGATCTTTGAAGTGTATTCATTGGTGTTCATAAATAATCACTTATCAATTGAGATTGGTCAGAGGCAACATCCACTCAGATAGATTCTTTGTTGGAAGACCAAAAGAGACGGTGAACAGTTGCTGAGTCCCACAAAAACAGAAGGTGCCAAGTTATTATCTTTATTTTCATTAGTGTCATGACTAAATAAATTCTTTTTCGCATAGAAACCATTGTTAGTAATGTTAGCAAGTGATTGCTTACTGCAATGGGGTGGCATTGATCTGAATGCTAAGTAGCAGGGATGTCACCCCACTTACAATAAATAGGTTAGTTGAAGTCCAAAAGCAGCCAAAGGGAGAATGTGTCAAACGTTTGTCCAATATTATCACCATCTGTGATTTCCAGATCATTGTCTTCTAAACTTCTAGACATATTTAAATGGTAGTTAGGTTGTAAAGTTTTAAATTTCTGCCTAGATGGTTTGTGGTGAACAAGAGGATCTATCTCTTCAAGTTGAAGGAAAGCTTTTGTTTCTGCTTAAGGTAGTGATTTGTTGTGTATGGTATGTGATTTTGTAAAACGAGGTCTTAAACAGCAGCCTCAAACATGCAGTTTTGACCATAAATGTTTTATTGTGCATTGTAACTCCTATAATTGGGAGGAAAAGCAATTTTTCAAACCAATGGAAAAATGAAGTTGGAGCAGATGAAAACTATTGACCTTTACATAGGAGGGTGGAAGATACTCAATTTGGCTCTGAAACTTTTCATCAGATTACTAACCACAGTTTTTATGTGAAACACAAATGCGAAGAATTACAAAAGAACTTTCTCCACATCCTTCTCTTTCGCTATCAATGTTATGGATTTAATTTTATTTAATTCACTCAGTATTTTATGGTGGATATGCTTGAAGTAGAGTCAGTACAGTGAAGATTTATTAGATTGATGCCTGGGAGGAGAGAGTTGTGCTATGAGTGACTGAGTAAATTGAGCGGCCGTCCTCTGGAGTTCACATGAATCAGCACAGAATTCATTGAAATGTACAAGATTTTGAAGGGGCTTTGCAGGATAAACACTGAGAGGTTTTTTTCCGTGGGAATCTCAAACACTGAGGCACAGCCTCAGGATAAAAAGACACTCATTTAGGATTCAACCCTTAATGGGTTGTGAATCTTTACCCGTTGTGGGTTCTCCATTGTTGAATCAATTTAAGGTTGGAATAGGCAGATGTTTGCTCTCTTGGAGAATCCAGGTATATGAACAGGAAAATGGAGTTGAAGCTAAAAATCAGCCATGATTGTATTGAAAAGCAGAGAGGATCGAGTAAACAGGAGTCTTTGCTCCGGGCGTACCACACTGCCGCCACCACCACACCAATGCCAGGAGTCCCCACTCTGGGCCTACTGTCATCTCGCCAAGAGTCCCACTCCAGCCTCCTTCCTCTAAGATGTTGACTTGCCGCATTGCCATCTTGAATAGTCCACTGCCTGCAGCCACGTCTGATTGCTGGAGGAGCTTCTCCGCTGCCGCTGCCACTGCCATTGCCATCCCCAAACATGGCAGGAGCCACATCTGGCACTGCCACCTCCGACTGCTGGGAGGCTGC